CCGGAAACCGTTCGGAGAAATAAAGATCGGCACTATTTCTCCGAACGTTCGGAGAAATAGTCACTTCGTAATATTTTAGGCAGGGCAACAAAAGTCTTGTGTGCTCTTGGTACCATTGGAAAACTTTTTAAAAACTATCTAGCGTCTAGACATTAATTACGTTCTGACATCTACATCTATCTATATTTGTCACAGCTCTCCTTATACTTACAAGACCATTGTACTTACTGGAAGACTCGCACAAAATACATCATGTCACAAAAGCCAAAGGTGAGTTTTATTCAATTTTGTTAGTTAAACTGCATGATCTTATACTGAAATTACCTTTTTTTGTGTTTCGGTTTTGTACATTCTCACTCTTTCTCTGTGAGCAATTTTTATGCTGACTTTTTTAAAATTCTAGTGATTTGCTAACCAACAATTTTCCCTATATTATAATATTCTCTTTTTCTGTTTAATTGGAGATATAAATATGTACATTTAAGGAGGTAAGGGTGGCCTGGTGTAAGAGGCAAAATAAGTCAGAAAATGGCTGCCAAAGTCTCGTGACTTCCAAAGCTTATTGAGTGTCTTAAGAAGTCGCAAATTTATATTTTTTGTTGTTACCTTTGATCTATGTTTTTCTAGAAAATTTACACAAAGATGTCCTTCAAAAGGACATGTTATAAAAATATGTAAGGTGTTCAGCAAAAAAAAAAATGTGTTAAAAATTGGGCAGAAAAACGCCCTTTTCTTCAATTTCATTATTTTGATGAGTGCCTAATATCACCAGGATGCCGCATATTATAATATTATATTATGCATCAATTATACTCAATTGGTCTGTCAACTATCTATGACAAATTTATAATTCTTGATGGAGACCAACGTTTTTAAATGAAGAAGGCATTCACATTTTACCCTTTATGAAAACTCAATGGCTACAGAACCAATCCTAACTGCTTGTATTGGCTATTATAAGAGGAAAAGTAACTTTTAAATTGAGCAAATGGAAAAAGATGTTTTCCGGTTTTTTTAATACTCTCTCAGTACATGAGAGTAGATGAGGAGAGGACAAGTGATGTGGACATTCCTCTACCTCTCTGGAGGAAACTTTGTTTTGCCGTTGGAGGAGCCCCGTACCAAATTACCAGCACCGTCATCGGCTTTTTCCTCAACATTTTCTTGCTTGAAGTTGCCCTGGTGAGTTTGTACCCCCATATTTTTGTAGGATTTGATCTAAGTACACAAAAACAGCTTTTCAGTGTTTACAACCTTAAATTTAGCCTAAATGTCGGTAGAATGGTATACATTTGGTATTGGGCAGGATAGCAGAAATGAAAATAAAGCGATATCAGCTGGAATCTAGTGGATATTTTAATCATGTGATGCATGGATTAACCCTATCCGTACATCATGTTTTACTATCGTATCCATACGACGTGGGAAACTCTGTGCCGCCACTTTCCAAAGAGGAAATTTACTCGTTAATCCGATCCGTACACTTTGTTTAGCAGTCTGTCAAAATTATTTTTTGAAAAATACTGAAAGTTTCAAAGAGATGTTGGCACTAGATCTAGAAGTATTCTAAGATGTGAAGAAACACAACCCCGTTGGTACAAAATGACCTCAGGGCGTACGGATGGGGTTAATGTATTACGTAGTCAGTCACAGTCTGTCAATTCACAGTTTGTCATTTCAGATTTTTCGATCAAATTGCTAATTTCCACTTGTCATGTTACTTTGTTATCACAGCTTTTTGGTCAGAGGCAGATAAGAGAAAAGCTCCAACTATTTTGTGTTGTTATCGACAGAATCTTTTTCTTTATATATTCGCAGCAGTTGTGCTTTTGCATTTTAAAGATAGTTTTGAAAACGACTCTGTGGTCTTTGTTGAAGATTAGCAAAACACAGGGTGAGAGAAATTGATGTCTTTGTGCTATCAGATTCTGTCTGTCTGTCTTTCTTTCTTTCTTTCTTTCTTTCTTTCTTCCTCTCTCTCTTTCTTTCTTTCTCTCTTTCTCTTTCTTTTTTTCTTTCTTTCTTTCTCTCTTTCTTTCTCTCTCTCTTTCTTTCTTTCTTTCTCTCTTTCTTTCTCTTTCTCTCTCTCTTTCTTTCTCTCTTTCTTTCTTTCTTTCTTTCTTTCTTTCTTTCTTTCTTTGTGGGTGTTGGTGTTGTTCATCCACTGCAGGATGTTGCCCTCCAAAAATTACCTCCATTCTGTTTAATCAGCTGTTTTTCCTGTCCAGGTTGTATCCATCTCCTCTCTGACATCATCTTGCCATCTTCTTCGTATCCTTACATCAGTTTCTTTACCGTGGTATTTTTCAGCTAGAACCAAAGTACGTCTCCATCATCTTGTTCAGTGGTAAGGCCTGGGATGCGATCACAGACCCGGGTATAGGTCTCCTGGTGCAGAGAACCAACACGCGATGGGGGAAAATGAGGCCGTGGTAAGAAAATCAGACAACGCTGTGTGTATCTTTGGCGTGTTTTTATTGCACTGGATTTTTCGGTGATTGCTGCTCTAGGTATTGCTGACAGTTACTGTTTTATAAAAAAAATGTTTTTAATGATGACTTTCGCAGTAGTGTATTGTCACATATTATCAGAGAGAAACTGGACCGACAATTGTGTTCTGATATCACATTGCTTCCAAGATTAGGAAATCAAACTATCTTGGCAAACAAGTGTGCGTAAACCTTTGTTGTTTTGTTGTTGGATTTTTCAGGGCTCTTGCTAATTATTTGTCCTCGTCGTTTTGTGCAAGAAAAATTCTGAAATTATGTAAAACTGAGCCCAAAAATGTGAAATTATGCGATTCTGTTAATTTTAACAAAGAATGATAGAGGAAATTAATCAGAAATTATGCAAAAAATGATCAAATTTTGTTAAATTATGCTTGGTGCATAAAACCACAGGGACAATTATTTGCAAGGTTTTTTTTGTTTTTTTCAGTTATTTACATGTTCTTCACATTAGGGGCACTCTTTTAGCTCAGTTGACATCATGCTGGAGTACTGTGTGAATGACCCTGGTTCAAATCCCCAACAAGGCGTTCTTGACCTTGTGTGTTGAAGGACTTGTTGAAGAAGAGAATTATATTTTGAGGTCCAGCATCTTAAAAAAAGTACGCACAGTTTTGAAAGGTGTGTTAAAGTGTTAGACCTTTGTCACACTTTTGTATCAGTGTCTATGTACCCTTTTTTAAATTTGATTGAAGAGTAGAGGCTCAAGGATAATGAGAAAAATATAATTCGAATGTGAAGCGAGCTGACAAAATGAGTTACTTCTCAGATTCAAGCCCTGAATACATTACATCACGCTTATGATTCGTATAATCAGTATGAAAAATAAAAAGCATGTTGTAATGACTCTCCGAACACTCAGTTAACTCACAACACAGCAGCTGACATGATCACGACTTCGCACGGATTTGCAAAGTGCTCACACGAAAAACACCACCTGACACGACTGTCCTACACGGCCAGTCGAGTAGAAAACTCCGGTGAGTAAAGACCTACCACAATGTCATACTTAAAGAATAGGACATCAATAGAAAAATCTACAAAATTGACCCCAGTGTCGATTTTTGGCCAATATCTCCATTTGTGGATTGCGAGAAGTAACTCATTTCGTCTACACGCCCCACAAATGGTTATTGTTTTGTTTTTTTTAATTTTACTAATACAGACATCCTTCGTTATAATTTTTTTTATCATCCTCAGGATCATCTTTTCGGCACCTCTGGCGTGCGCTGCTTACTTCCTGCTGTTCTATGTGCCGTGGGACATTGTCAGAGACGCTGACGGAAAGGAGGTCATTGACGCCAGTAATGCCGGAAAGTTAGGCTTCTACTTTTGCATGTTCTGCCTGTTTGAAGGGTTGCTATCTGTGAGTATATTCGAAGGGTGGAACTAGTTTGTCTTAATTAAAAGGAGGAAAGTTTGCTCCAGGCTTTAATGAAAGTTGTTGTTTGTGAACTGTGCATTAGATGGCGTCTATGGTGTAATGTTCTGGCTCTTCATCCATGCACACAGAAAACATGAATGCAGTTTCTTCTGCGTGGGGACATTATTTTATTGAGCATTTCTGTCTTTGTCTGTCTGATTGAGCATTTGTCTTTGTCTGTCTGATTGAGCATTTCTGTCTTTGTCTGTCTGATTGAGTGAGCATTTGTCTTTGTCTGTCTGATTGAGTGAGCATTTGTCTTTGTCTGTCTGATTGAGCATTTCTGTCTTTGTCTGTGTGATAGGTTGTCATGTCCCATCAGACTTTGGCCTCGATAGGTATGTCTTAACTCCTGGCAGCAGAGAGAGTTGTGTTCAGCTGTAGAGAAGTGTATTTTGATTGTTGTTTTGTCACTACTGTTTGAAGTAGGCATTTTAGTGTGTAAGTGTGTGTATGTGTCTGTGTAAGAGAGAGGGAGAGAGAGAGAGAGAAAGGGAGAGAGAGAGAGAGAAAGGGAGAGAGAGAGAGAGAAAGGGAGAGAGAGAGAGAGAAAGAGATAGAGAGAGAGGGACAGAGAGAGAGTAAGAGAGAGAGACAGAGAGAGAGAGAAAGCAAACACTGATAAGATGGTTGTCAACCCCTGAACTTGACCACACAAACTATCAGGCCAGAGGTCAATGAAAGTTCATTCATCATCTCCTAAAACTAAATGATCTGAATTAATTATGTCGCTAACCTCATAAAATATTTATTATCAGTAATTTACAATCAAGCAGCTCTCTCACATCAGGTATTAGCAGAGGAGAACTAGACAGAAATATATTTGCTGTGATAGAAGAACCTTGCTGTACTCATTGCTCTTATTGCAATAAGCTCAATTTTCTAGTGCCCTCTTCTCTATTTTGTTCAAATTTTTTGTGTACTGAATTTTATCTTCAGTGTTAGACAAATTGTGGCGTTTGAATTATAAATTTGATCTGTCACTTTTGGTCGTTTTGAGTTACTAAGACCATGAGATCAGAAAACAAATGTTCTATATGTTCTATCAAATTCGTAAGATTATTTGGCCGCTTTTAAGCACAAAGGGGCTTTCCCGAAAAATGCTGTATTGAGAAAATCGAAGGTAAAGTTTTTGCCCCCTGTTCAGTTTCTTTAAAAGACAAGGAGAGTTTTCTCTATGACCAAACAAATATACGCACCAATGAAACCAAACTTCTCCTATAGGTAGAGCAATGCCAACTCTACTCCTCAAGACAACAATTAGAACAGACATGCAGCTATTACAGAATGGCATCATGCAGAAGAGTTAACGCTCAGATACTACTTGATCGCTAACAACAACAATAACAGCAACACAAACACTCATCACGGTCGGCATTTCTTCAGAATGCCATTCACCATAGGTGGACATGCAGCCACTACCCAATGAAAGCTCCAGTGACGGAAGAAGGAGGAACTTCTGTGTCAGAGGTGACAGCACCAGAGGCGCCAACAACCCTCAGTCACAACCTGAAGTACAAGAAGGCGCATCTGGCACTGAATTAAGTTAATAATAATAACAGATAGCTTTTGTATAGCGCGAATCCCCACTCAACAGCAAGCCGTATGCGCTTCACAATCTATACTATTACCCCAACAGACCCGAGAACATTCTGAAACAAACTCAACTTCCTGGGCAGCATACAGTGCAAGTGGCCATTTATAGGCGCTATAACACTAACATACAGCAATAATGGCCATAATGTGCCGACAGGGGAGATGGAAAGCTGTGGAGAAGCGACATATTGTGCAACTCTTCATGACGCCGGAGAAAAGCCATCGATCTATTGACCGGCGCGGCGCCGGAGAATAGCCATTTGCTTCAAAAAGAACCTGTCTAAGACAGCCGACTATACAAATAACCACTTCCCATTTCCCCTGTGGTGTTTTTTTTTCTTCTATGTTGTAATGTGAGCCCAATCCTGAAAAATAGAAACTTCTCAATGAACACCAAAATGAAAGTTTTGAAATGCTATGTTTGGTCAACCTTTCTATATGGCTGCGAATGCTGGACAATCACTAAAGACATCTATCTATCTATCTATCAATCTATCTATCTATCTATCTATCTATCTATCTATCTATCTATCTAATGACTAAAATGAAAGTTTTGAAATGCTATGTTTGGTCAACCCTTCTATATGGCTGTGAATGGTGGACAATCACTAAAGACAGTGAAAATAAAATGGAAGCAACAGAAATGTGGTTTCTTAGGAGACTGCTAAGAGTATCGTGAAAGGAAAAGAAATCAAATGAGGTAGTGTTTGATGAAGCCCACGTGGGACACTTAATGTTTAAAAACAATCAGGAAATAGCAAATGCAGTTTTTGGGACACCTGAATAGACATAAGGGTCTTGAACATCTAGCTCTCACTGGTAAAATTGAGGGCAAGCGAGGCAGGGGAAGGCCCAGAACAACATACTTGGGGAACCTTAAACAAATGGGTAACGGTGAAAGATCAGAGAAACGTGGCTTTTTTTAGAGCATCCGAGCAAAGGAATGAATGGAGAACCATGATCGCCAATGTCTGTCGCAGATCTGGAACTGGATGATGATGATGATGATGATGTAGTAATGACACTGCCCACGGGGACCACCTGTCTGAGACGACGATTCTTTCGCCTTGACAGTGGATACTTGTCTTGGATAGGTTCAACTGTAATGTAATTGTCTTGGATAGGTTCAACTGTAATGTAATTGTCTTGGATAGGTTCAACTGTAATGTAATTGTCTTGGATAGGTTCAACTGAAATGTAATTTCTAAGTCTAATTAATTGTCATTTGTGTGTAAATTCTAATGCTTTGAGTTAACTTCTTCTAGTTCTGTTTGTCCTTTGTGTGTACCTCCCCAGTGCCTGCACGTTCCGTACACTTCTCTCACCATGTATGTGGCTACGAGGCAGAAAGACAGGGACTCCATTACTGCTATACGTGAGTCTTTTTCCTTTCTTTTACACAATAAGGTCATACAAGTGCTGAAGATTAGAGGTGTTTCAAGAGAGTAACAAACACCAAAAAAAAGAAGGAGGAGAGATCAAGACGATAGATATTTGAGAGGAAATTCTAAGGAGCAGACAACACCAGAGCATCCGCCAACCACCCACCTTTTTTGATTGTGAAGAAAATAAATTTGTAGATCTTTATTTAATATTGCTTGCACTAAAAGCAGTTCATTGTTTCTATTGTCAGCCGTGGGGTAGCTCCAGTGATAAGTCTCGTAACTCTTGTTTTGCCAATCCTTGATAAATCATTGGTTGATTGATTGACTGATGTCTGATTTTTATATGTCTCTACCGAAAACAAACTTTTTTTTTCGATGAGTAGACCCGTTGTTCTGTGTATTTTGTTTTCCGGACGCTGTCTTCTTGCACTTCATTCTTTTGTCTCTTTATATCGATGCACAAACGCACAAATAACTTGTGTGCATTATATGATAACATAAAGTGTGTGCAATATTTGTGTACAATATATTATTATATTTGCTAATATAAAGTCTGGTAACTGGCCTCTCCCCACATGACCTTCACCCTGTCTTTTGTCCTGCTCACTGGCACAACTGTTGAAAATCCTCTTGTGTGGAAAGAAATTAGAGTCGATGACTTTAGATTTGATTTTCAATAGATACATTCGAAGCGTATGTTGTTTGAAGAGTTTTTTAAAAGAAACTTTTCAGCTCTGATACAGGGAGTTTAAACTTAAAATATATTTCTTGAAATTGAAGATCATATCAAAAACAGTTTGAAAATCAAAATCAGCCTAACGACAGAAGTTATTCGGAGACGTCTCCAGTGAGAATCCTGGAACTATTCGGAGACGCACTCCCGCACACAGATGCACTGCTTTGAGGGGGTCAAACTGTGTATTATTTGCTGCATATCACACATATAGCCACTAAAACTGCCGCAAATCAATTATTTTCAAGAAAATTTCAAACTTAGCAGCAAAATATCAAATAATGGGTTAAAACAGGAGGGCATGCCCCCCTGAACCCCCCCAGATTTTTTCATTGGTCCAGAGGCACAAAGCATTTTGGTTGGTGTATCTCCGTCGGAGATGTCCCTGGATAGATTCTGCACAGCCTAACATGTGAAAACTGAGGTAAAATGTATAGGATGGTGTCCCGTTTTTATTGTAGTATTAGGACCCAGTTTAGATCATGAATACAGCCTCCTTACGTCAGTGGAGCATGTACATGATAATGCATTGAGTCTTGTACGTAAAGTACCATTGAAAGCTTTAATGTAATGTTATCCCTGAATGTGTTATATTTGGAGATTTTTAGATGTCTCTTGCTTACTATACTGTAACTGTAAGTATTATTTGACAATGCAGCAAATGTTTATTTGACGATACAGCAAATGTTTATTTGACGATACAGCAAATGTTTATTTGACGATACAGCAAATGTTTATTTGACAATGCAGCAAATGTTTATTTGACGATACAGCAAGAGTTTATTTGACAGTACAGCAAATATCTATTTGTGAGGCAGCGTGGAGGAATCAGGCTCTCGTCAAAATAATCAAAGTGAAGAAACTTGCATTTTTCCGCATGTTTCTGAATTTTTATCAAATTTTCTTTTTTTGGCTGAACACCTTTCATGCCCATTAAAGAACTCATTTCTATGCGGATTTTTCTGAAAAATGTTGATTAAAACTACAAAAAATGTAAATTTTCAGTTACCACGGACTCTTAAGCTAAGGAAATAACTAATCTTTGGCAGCCATTTTCTTACTAATTTTACCTCTGAAAACTAGTGACCCCCACCTCCTTCTTTCGCAAATATCTCGACTTGTATTCAAGATAAATGGATTTTTTAAAATACAAATAAAGACAAGTGAGCAAGCTATAAGATGATACCAATAACTCTACATGCCCAAAAATTGACGAGAGCCTGATTCCACCACGCTGCCTCACATTTGAGTTAGAAGCACTGGTTTTTTCTATTCTACAGCATGTGTTTTATTTTGATTTCAGGAATGGGATTTGAAGCTATAGGTGTCCTTATCGCTGTGGTTGTTCAAGGAATGTTTGTGTCGAGCACTCGGTGTAAGGGTGATGAAAAACATGTGCACAACTTCACAATCTCAGCTCAGGTGATTGTCTTGTACTGAATTATTGTAAAGATAAACAGTTGTGTGTTAGTTAGTTTTAGTAGAGTTTTTATAACGCTCGCAACTGCTTAAGGTCGTATGAGCGCCAAGGGATGGATGTCAACAGAGAAGTCCATACAGGGAATCAGGCTTACTCTGCTCACCTCTCTAGCTTCAACAGCACAAAGTCTGCTTCGACTATCAAGGCACCCCGGGAATAGCGGGTCACAAGAGAGTTGTGTGTTATGACAGTTTATTATTGTGCACTTACTTTTATTTTTACTTTTTCATCCTCTGTTGCCGCTAAGTGTCGAGGGGAGATGCAGTTATCTATGGTAGGCCAGCTCCGCAGCTCTTTCAGTTGTGATATTATGTTTTCTTAGGGTTTCCTTGACACCCTCGATCCACCTTTTGCGTGGCCTTCCTCTTCCTTTATAGCATGAGTGCTTGGTTATTGTGCAAATCTTGTAAATGTTTGGAAAAGCAGGTGGGCGCACCGTAGAGCTCGGTTGACATCATTTCAAATCCCTAATGTAGCATTCTGAACTTGGATTGATTGATGTGGCACATCAGGAAAGTCTCAGCCTTATGGGAGGGAAGTTTGTAGGTAGTCCTGCGTTGCCGAAGATGACGATGAAATCCTGCAGCTCATCTGTGGACGCGCATGTAGCTATGCAATCCGATCCTGGATGTACAATGTCTGTTGCAGTGGGGACACTGGAATGTCGTGGTTGGGGTGGTTGGATTATGTTTCCTCTCTCTTCTGATAGTCAGCTTCTCTCTGGCAGGGAAGTAGTACTTGGGCAATTTACTTCCTCTACATCTACCACCCAGGCAAAGCTGTATTGGTGGGTGGTTGGTGGGTGCTCTGGTGTGGTTTGCTCCTTCTTTCCTATCAAACATCTATCATCCTTATCTCCCCTTCTTCTTTTTTATGTTTGTTACTCTCTTGTAACACCTCAAATCTTCTGGCGCTCATATGACCTTATGCAGTTGCGAGCGCCGTAAAACCTCCACTCAAACTAAACTAAAAGCTGTATTGTGTATGCTATTTTAGTACAGCCTCTCAAGACCTGGAAGACCATATATATGTAACCAACTCGGCCTGGGGTTGTTGTAAAAGGCAGCGTTGGAGCAGCCCATGTCCTAAATACAGTCAAAACTGTGTAAGATGGCCACCCATTGTCCAGGAGAAAAGTGGCCGTATAAGACAGGTGGCCGTCTTAGGCAGGACTGATCAAGATGAAGAAAACAAACCATTCCCATCTGAGGTCCCAATCGACAGTAGCCGCATTGTTGTTGTTTTTGTTGTTGTTGTTGGTTTGTATTTTTTAACATTTTTATTTTGTTGCTGAGTTTGCACAATGGTGACAATAAAACGAAATGTGTCAGACGAGGAAGACCAAGTGCCATGTTAAAACAAACACATGGGTCGCCACCACTCGGAGAACGAGCGACGCTTCTGTCACAAGCTCATGTTGACGTCCTTTGTTACTTTGTTACAGACTGGGTAAACAGTGACCACTCATCTCACTTACGATTTGTGTTTGAGTTCTGGACGGGGCTTATGGGTTATGAGGGATCACACGCTTACTTCACCAGCAGCTGAAAATTGGTACCTATTGGTCAACAGTGGGAGGAGCCTACACAACATGATCGGTTGGGGGGACTACCTAACAACAACGACAGGTGACTGAATTATGACAGCTCCCCCACAACGCCAGGGGCCAATGCACAATTTATGACAAAACGTAATGGAGTCACTAAGGTGGCCGTCTAAGACAGGTGTTATTGCTTAGTGTGATAGGGGTTGTGTGTTAAAATATGGTGGCCGCTTTGGACAGGTGCCCGTTTTACACAGTTAAATTATAAAGAAAAAACGCAAGGGGGGGGAATGGAAAGTGACCGTTTGTACAGGTGGTCGTCTTATAGAGGTGGCCGTCAGGGCAGGTTTGACTGTAGTTTAAGTTATGTGGATGTAGTATAAAATGATACAATAAATAACATTCTCAAAAGTCCCCTGTGAATGAAGCAAAATACTTATTATGCTGCTCTCTTTTTAAAAAATAAATAACTCTCATGTGTTTTTTGTTTTTTTTTAAGTTGTGATATAGACTTTTTTTTATCTTCTTGTGACAACGGTGATTATTGCATGGTTTTAGACTAAAGTGTTAATTTTACCATTGATGTTTTCCAGCGTGATGCATACATGCAGGGGTCATCCGTGGTGATTGGCCTCTACTTGGTGTGCTGTCTCGTCGTCTTCTTTGGCTCTCGAGAGAAGAAAGGTACTTCATCTAGAATGTCAGAGTTTTTCTATTATCTCTTTGTGGTGGCCGAATTTTGCTATTCAAAAGGCTTTGTAATGATTGCATCGATCGATATGCGGTTTTCACCAAAAGATTCTTTTTAAAAAATTTATTTAGCCATCGCTTTTGTTGGCCGACGCTTCTGTCTCTGTAATTTTAGAAAATCCGCGAGGTTTTGTTTATTTCAAGTACGGCTTTCGTTCACTATCCGTGTGCACTGGTTCCACACCTTTGAAATTCTGAAGTGCACAACCACCAAAGTGGAATAGAGAATCAATCTAATCTGTACTTCTATTATACTATATTTGGCAACTTAGAAACACGTGTGTCACTTTTCTCTCAAGATTTATTGTTCCATTCCAATAGACTGTAATATAGTAGGCCAATGACTTTCAGTTGGTGTTAATGCACCGATCATTCCTTTCATCGAAAGGGGGCCCAGCTAGTAGTTATCTATTTATAGGTGTTTGGATTTTAATAATCACCCTCTGTGTAGCACATTTGAGGTAATTACAGTCATAATATTATGTTATTATAGAGGAAAACCTTCTACAAGGGAGGAGAACATTTACGGGCCCTCTCAGATTTTGAATATAGAACTTCAACATTATTTGGAAAGTTCATCAGCCAGCTGCTCAGGAATTGTTAACTCTTTAAACCCCATTGGACAGTGGGAGCGTCTGGTAGTAATCACCATGTTCCCCCATCGGGCGCTGGTAGCGTCTGGTAGTAATCACCATGTTCCCCCATCGGGCGCTGGTAGCGTCTGGTAGTAATCACCATGTTCCCCCATCGGGCGCT